CTCTCTCTCTCTCTCTCTCTCTCTCTCTCTCTCTCTCTCTCTCTCCTCTTCGGCTCTCCAAAGAAAATCGTACAATTCGGAGAAAGCGAACCTTTCCTTCCCTTTTCTTCTCGGATTTCGTTTGAAAAAGGAAAGGAGGGAGAGAGGTTCCCTCTTCGCTTGGATTTATCGCTTGGATTTCTCGTTGGATCGTTAATTCGAAACGTGCAGTGCTCTTAGTATCGCGATGATCGCGTTAGGCAACGCTCTCCTCGTTTCTCGGGAAAATCTGCTCGCCTCTTGCCGGAAGCGAGACGAGATTCCTCGGAATTTCGCGTTACGTGGGCAGAGCAACGACTATCGCGCGGCACGCGAAACGCTCGTTTTCCATGCATCGTCGATCCATGCGCACGCCTTCCTTCACCCCTTGATGAGATCTCAATTTAGTTCAACGGGAATTAATTCAAGGGGTTGGAGGGAGAGGCTCCGTTAAATGAAACAATTTGACGATCCGTAATGAACGGATGGAAAAGTTAATTCTCCTTCCTTCGACCACGATTCGGCCCCATCCCTTTCTACGAGATCCCGTAAGAAGACCGGGCCGTGTTCGTGAAACCTGTTTCTCGTACGAAGCGAGACAAGGATCCAGCGGGGAGGCGAGCCGTTTCTGAAGGACATGGCGGAAGGTGAAGGGCCAATTACCCATAATTTCGTGTCTCGTGTAATTGGGTAGGAGATGCTAGGAGAGGAAAGAGAAAGGGGAGGAGAGGATACGAGGTGTCTGTCTCGAGAGTCTATCTATCTATCTGGACTCTCTTGCTCTACGCGAGAGATCGATTCAATTTCGGCTTGGCCGATTCGCTCGTGAGAGAATCGTGCGAGTTTCGATCCTGGTTACACAGAGAACCCGATTACACTCTCTCTCTCGACTTTCGTTAATCGGCTAACAGGGATTTCTGAAGAGTCGTCGAGGAACGATCCGTCGATTTTTCTTCTCTTTTCGTTTCTTCTAGCACCCCGGCCTACGACTACGCGCCGAATCCTGACAAGCAATGGATACTGCAGGTCACGCAGAAAATGCAACCCATTCACAAACAGTTCACGGATCTCCTGATGACCAAGAGGCTTCAGACGTTGCAAAGCGTGGACGACGCCGTGGACAGGGTACGTACGATGATTCATACCATTCGTTTCTAGCACCACGATTATTATTAATTTCCCTTTCTTCCCGCCACCGATGCGTTTTATTTTTAACGCGTGGGCCGCTTGTAAAACAGATTTACCAAGAGCTGAAAGATCTGGGCGAGTTGGACAACACGTACATCATCTACACGTCCGATCACGGCTACCATCTCGGCCAGTTTGGCCTGATCAAAGGGAAGAGTTTCCCTTTCGAGTTCGACGTGAGAGTGCCGTTCTTGATAAGGGGGCCCGGCATCGAACCCGGCACCATGTAAGCGCACCTTTTATTTTATTTTATTTTCGTTCCAACCGTAGGCCGTTCTTATTCCACTTCTCGCCGCGCCAGCAATCGTATTATCCTCGTAGGCAGTTGTAAGTAGGACGAACGAACGAGTCGTCGTGGTTCACCAAGCGAGGAGGCGTGAAGTTGTAAATCACAGCGATCGGATAGAGGCCACATTTGGGTAAATTGATTCGTCAGCTTCGCTCGAGTCTCGCCTTCCTTTTCCAACCAACGCAACGATTGGAGTGGTCGCACAAACGGATCCCCTCGCGAATCGATGGGGCAAAGTGCAATGATACTCGATAATTTCAACCGATCGCGTGTTGTTACGTCAAACGCGTGCACGTCCTTAAATAACCGGCGTCGAGGCTCGCAATAAATAGAGAACAGTGGCATTAAGTGGCCGTTGCTTCGAAAATGATAAATTATCCGGGCTAATTCCGCGAGAGACGAGGAAAAGATGCTAATTGACGCGCTCACCGTTCCTCGTTGCCCGAACCATCGTGAATCCAATCGATTATTCGAGTGTAAATCGAAGCACAACCGCGCGCTCTGTTACGAACATCATCGTTTGGATTAATATCGCGACGAGCCTTGCTTCCGCGTTGCAACCTCTTTCTGGATTTAATCGGCCACGAACAATCGAAACGAAAGAGAGTGGAAAAGAATATTCGAAAATTAGGCGAAGGAACGGAGGCGTTTAACGTTCAAAGACCGGGTGTCTGTTTCGTCTAAATTCTAAGTGAAATATCTTTTTAAGGAAAGAATTGTGAAAAGAATGTTCTACAAGAATCTTTCTTTTTTATTAATTTTTTTTTTTAATACCAAATTCCACTTGTTTTTCGATAAAACAGTCACTCTGTATATGTTTGCAATGCTCGCGCAAAATGTTGGAGGGTGAAATCGTTACGTTCGATGGAACAAATACTATGACTGGTAGATTAATCTTTTGTAGAGGCAGCTTTAAGTTTAAAAAAAAAAAATATTTGTTTTCCATCCACTGGTTCTAAATGATCTCTAAATAGCGTCACTCGGTGAAAAAGAATTTGAAAAAAATATATATTATAAAGATAAGAGGATGAAGCTATCGCAGTTTGTACATTTCTCTCGTGTTTGAATAAACGTTTGAAATTGAATATTAGCGAGGGGGGAAAAAAAAAGAAAAAAAAATCAAAGATCTGTAACACGATAAAAGGAAAAAGATGAAAGGTAGGGGATACGAAGGACGAAATATCGGGATAGCCTCCGAATGGAGCTCGGTATTCGGCCCTAAGGGGAGGGAGGGTATTGTGCTGCAATATTGGATTACAATAAAGCATCCTATATGACGTTGCAGAGTAGACGACATAGTTTTGAACATCGACTTGGCGCCGACGTTTCTGGACATAGCCGGCGTCGAGACGCCCCCGCAGATGGACGGTCGTTCCTTTAAGAAACTTTTTCAGAAGTGAGTATATTGCCAATTTTTCATACCCCGGATATTACACAATCCCGGATCAAATCCCGTATTAAACGAGAATTATCATTGAGAATTCGAATGAAGCATCGAAAAATATAAGGACTCGGACAACTTTTATGACATCCTCGAGTGTTCAAATTTTTTCAAAAGAGGCGCGTGTGCGCGTGTTGCAGCAAACACGGGAGAAGATCGAAGTTTAAGTGGCCGGACACATTCCTGATCGAGTCTTCGGGGCGTCGTGAAACCCCGGAATCGATCGCGGAATCGAAGGCGAGGGAAGCGAGAAAACAGAATCAAACGGCATTGGTTAAACAGCATTCGAACGCGACACCGGAAGAGGAGGAGGACAACACGGCTGATCCGGATACGGAGCACGAATCGGAGCATCGATTCTTCGAGAACGATACGGGAAGCGATCAAGATATATCGGAGGACGAGGATTTCGAAGACTCGATCATCGATGAATCGAGTAATATCTCTTTTTTTCTTCTCTCTCTCTCTCTCTCTATTCGATATTATTATCGAATAATAATTCTTACGCTTCTTATGAAGCCTTATCCGGGACGCAATTTCGCCTGAAGGGAGGCATACCATTTTGCGCTGACCTTTTCGCGGCAATAAAGTTGCTCTCCGGTTGGAGAGCTGCAATTTCGCATTATGATCCGATCTTTCAATGAATAAATTACTTCGAGCCGTGGATTTACACGGAGTATTGACGACAACGACGACGAGATTTAACCGAGAATTTTTCTACGATAATAAAAAACTGTTCCTTCCGTCTTGTTTTCTCGCGTCTTTCGCCACGATATCTCGATCGATCAACTTTTCATCGAGCCATCGGCAAAACCGATTATTCCAGCGATTAAGATCGATATCTTTCTCTCGAAGCGTGAAGTTTTAATTAGAGTTTCGACAGTCGTGTCTCGCAACATGGAAAAAAAGAACATCCACGTTGCTGTTCCAGTTGGACGAGGATAATCGAAGCTCGCGATTACGCTCGGACGAATTTTTATTCACCCTATCCGGATTGTCGGAGATCGAATCCGGATTCGAGCGTAAATCTCGACCCAACTTATGCGCGACTTTAATTCCATTTTATTGCGCGCTCGTTTCCTTCATAAACTCTCCTTTTGTATGTAACTTCTTCCACCTTTGTGGAACAGGATTATATCGGATAAGATATCGCGTAAGAAAAATATCGGTTAACCGCGAAGATCTTTACAAATATTCTTCTATAACAATTATTAAAAATGATCTTCCAGGCTCCGATCCGCATCTGGACAACAGGGTCTATCCTGTACACTCGACCTTCTCTACCAAGCACGAACGGTTGGCCATCGAGTGTTCGCGGCCTGAAGTCCAGACGAATTGTATCCCGGGCCAGAAATGGCGTTGCGAGAGGGATGGGCACAGATGGAGAAGGCACAAGTGCAAATACGCGGCACCTCCGCCGAGAATGTCGAAGAAATGCGCTTGCTTCACGCCCAACGGGGTCGTTTATACCAGATTGGAGTCGAACGATTACGATTACGTGCATCGATACGCAGGGTTTGGCAGGGATAGAAGGCCGACCGATGTGTACACGGATGTGGCCAGATACTTTGCTAGACGAGGTAAGTTTAATATTTCAATTTCGTATATTCGCGATTATTATTATTGATATCGACTTCTCGACAAATGTCTGTCGAAAACTTCGTCGAAGATTCTTTAAATTTAACCCTTTCGCTATTACGAGCGACCATAGCTCTGCATAAGGTATCGTATCATTCTTTCAATGAACACCGTCAAAGCAACTCGAATTGTGATGCGTAAACGCGGCCGTTGACGATGCAGCGGAGAAGTAACGAAAGGGCGATATCATTTCTCTATTTGCATCTATTACTTATTATCTACTTTTTCTAGAATGAAGTTTGAATTGGATATTTGAAAAATGCATTCCTCTACATTTTTCAAATCGAGATAAAAATATCGATTGTGGCCTGTTGTAGCCTAAAAATGGTTTTCATCGGCAAGAAGGTTAATAGGGTTGTGGAGAGATCATGGTTTACGATTTTTCTCACAGGCAAACGAGACGTGTCGGGAGCAGGGAGCGAAGATGCCAGCCAAGATACAGAGGAGAACGATGATGGATATAATGACGGTGAGCGGGATCGGCGAGCGATCGACGAGGAGGACGACGAGGATTTCTTCCAGGAATTGGACAGTCTTGCGAACGATGTGAGAAAGGAATACGTAGACTTGATCTTTAGGTAGGAAAAGTTTAGAAAGTCGTTGGAGATGCTCGAATGTAGATAACTACGAGAAGTATTTTCTTCCACGGTGATGGATGCTCTTTCAGGGATAGATTCGATAACAGGACGTCGGAGGATGAGAAACTCGAGTTCGATAATTTGAACGAATCGGAATACTCGATCGATGACTTCGATCCCAGCTTGGATAAAGTGGTGAAAGGCCGGTTGAACGTCGAGGACGTGGTTAGAAGACACAGGAGGATACGGAGGAGTGTCACGAAGAAGGACACCGTTGAACACGTGACCAAGATAATGGAGAGCATCGAAGAGGAATTGGACGATTTAAAGGTAATCTTTCTAGCTTTACAAATTTTATACAACAATCGAAACGGACGAGTAATTTCTATTTAAAGGCGACTCAAGAACGCCAGTCGGAGCCAAGAAGAACCTTCCCACCAAAATGTTCCGTCCTCCCGCAAGGAGGAGTGAATTGTTCGGAAACCGTGTACCAGGATCCGAACGAATGGAGAAACTCGAGGCGAGAGATCGAACAGCAAATCAGAGAAATGAGGATGCAGTTGGAGACATTAAAAGTGAGTATCGACGGCACGCGCATTCTCTAGAATATTAAAATAACGTGTTTCTCTCAGGATATTCGCCGTCACCTGATGACCAAGCGACCTCACGTTATGAAAGATCCGGAGGATGGATTCAAAAGCGCGGAAGACTCTCATAAACCGCATCATCATCCTTCGAGAAACCACGTGAATCGACATCACAAGAAACACGAACACGCCAATACGATTATTAACCCTAGCGCGACCACCGTTCGTTCCACCGTGAAACAGGATCGAGCGACGGAAGAAAGGGTCGTTTCGTCCACCAAGGAGAATAAATCTAGATTTCTTAACGTTACGGAAGCCACGGAAAGTAGCGATACCGATACGATCACCACCACGAGCGAATCAACATCCAGCGTAACTTCGTTATCGTCCACTTCGAAACCAAAGAAAGCGCCTCGTCGTCAGAAGGCAAAAGAGCCGGTTGGTAACAGGACGGAAGTGGAGGATGACAAGGCGCAGAGACGAAGGAAGGTCCACCATCACCGAAGGAACAATACTCTTTTCACGAATAGCGTGCACGACGAGGTGCCAATTGTAAATGTGAGCGAGACAATCGAGACGACGACTGTCACAACCGCGGCGTCCAGGTCTCAGTATCATCGAACCAGGTACACGACCACCGTTCCTACGACGACAATGAAGGAAACCACGATTCACAGGGAGACCGTGACCGGAGTCACGAATGACTTTACCAAAGAAAATACGGTGGGGACGAACGCGCAAACGATACTATCCACAGGGTCAGAGACGTCCAGTGAAACGACGGAGTCGCAAACGACGACGCCATCGTTCACCAGGACCTCGACTATTATCGAAGGAGGACGTTCGAGAACTACGTTCCCAGCTGTGACCACCACGTCTGTGACTATACCGATTACAGTCTCATCGAATAAGAGGTTTCCAAAGGTTCAGAAGAATAGGACCAACAACCTTGGACCATCGAGAATCGACGTTACCATTTTGGAGTCCCCGGATAGGAGGAGCAGACAAGGTCAGTGATCGAAGTACCTAAGATTTATTGATTTTTCTATCTGATGGATGTAAGGTGATGAAACTTGTCTGTTCCACGATATAGAGATAATAGATATAGCGAATAATAATCGCCGGTTACCACCGATGCTGAACAGTCCTTTGGAAGCGCGTCACAAGTGTTACTGCGAGCCAGATTCTTACTCGAAGAAGGACGAGAAAGAGATCGCTCGAGAGGAAAGGAGAAGGTTGAAGGAGGAACGTTTGAAGAAAAAGGAGAGGAAGCTGAGGAAGAAAGCCAAACTGGAGAAGGAGTGTTTAACCGAAAAGATGAACTGTTTCGAGCACGATAACGATCATTGGCGCACAGCACCGTTGTGGAGTGCGGGCCCATTCTGCTTTTGCATGAATGCCAACAATAATACGTACTCGTGTATTCGCACCATTAACGCGACACACAATTTCCTTTACTGCGAGTTCACCACCGGTTTGGTCACTTATTATAACCTGAGGATCGGTGAGTGCTTGTTCACTTGTACACGCGTGGATCGGAAAGGAAATTGGTATCGAAATTCCGTTTCTTTTTATTCAGATCCGTTCGAACAATGGAACAGGGTTTCGTCTTTAACGTCTTTGGAACGTTCCTATCTTCACGATCAATTGGAACATTTAAAGGGATGCAAGGGGACAAGGGATTGTACGGTTGGAAACGCGAAGGAAGCACTGCCGCAGCAACAGCATCAGAGGTTCATCTCGAAAAGAAAATTCGCCAATACGTTCGGTACGGTATTGATGTGTAACACAACGCGAAACGAAAATCGAAGAAATAACTTATCTATTTATTTTCTTCTGTTCCCTTTTGTGCACAGAGGATATGTTCGTACCGTCGACGTTACAAATTATTCGCGAGAGCGAGCTTAGCAGTCCGCCGAATAAGAGGCGGAAAAAGTTGCAGAAGTAAGTAATCTGTTTTAAATAATCTCTACATTCTTAATTCGTGGATTCCATTTATTTGAAAAATTTATTTTTCTATTTTCCATTTTTCTTCTTTTTTTTTTTTTTATTCGAACAGCGTTTGGAACAGACGAAGCAGAAGCTGGCAAACTAATTTTAGGCATCATCAAGACACGATGAATTATCGTCGGCACAGACATCAGTACTGATTATTATCATGACCCGTTTGTTCTTTTTGAACAAATTGTCGAAGGATGCGTGAAAGCATTGCCTTAGATGTATATTAATTTCGCGATGCATTTAATAATGTAATTTATTTAGTGATATTTAATCGAGGAAAGATACGTGATATTTAATTGAAAATGTTCGGATTCCATTAAAATTAGAATCGCGCTTTAAAACGACGTATGCCGCGTTGCAGAAAGAAATCAATCTAAAAATGAATGCGATCGCAAAAAAAACATGTCGACTATCTAACTAAATAAATGATCTAAATAGATAAATTGACTCGAGGAGATACCGAATGTTTTTTTCTGCAATGCTGTGGTATATTGTGTATATTTCTAATGCTATATTTTTCACAAAATTAAATTGCGTCTGATCGGACGTGTTTCGCTTATATTAAATGACGTACACGTGTGATTAACAATCGGAAACGATCTAAACGATCCTTTTTTTTACTTAATAGCCGATATTTTTTATAATAATTTATTTACTACTACTACTACTATTACTATTACTACTACTATTATTACTACTACTACTACTACTACTACTACTACTACTACTACTACTATTACTCGTCTCTTTAGGTCTTTTTGTATACAAGATACTCGAATAACTCGAATGAAACGATACTTGCCTAACGAGATTTAGAGTTAGAATTTTAAAATCTTCGATTGTTCGGAATTAGCGACACGATACTTCTTTGAGAAGTGAATAATCGATATCAAGTAGGTTTATAAAGAAAAAAGGAATTGTCTAAGGGGAGAGAAGGATCTGAGAGTTCGTCCATCGCGTCACAACGGGAAAATTAAACTCGAGTTTGTGAGGTACGAACTGAAACGCACAACGAAAGAACGGAACACAATAGGAAAATCATCCTGCCAAAAATTTATTGTCTTTCTCTTGTGAAATTTTCTAATATACGTTTATAAAACGTTTGTTCTATCGAAGCTGCCATTCGTTTTATTTTCTTTTTTTATTGCAATAATATTGCAAAATATGAATTGCGACTGCCACAAAATATCTTACAATCATTCTAGCCAGTCATTACACTAGGATGTTTGAGTAGGGACAGGAAAAAAAAAAAATAATTCAAAACATAATCAAAAAGTACACAATGTTAAGACTGTATGAGTTATAATTTTAAAAAAATACTTTTAGCATTGTTCATTTTGTGCAATTTCCTGTCTTAATAGAAACAATATGAAAACTTTTGTGATTGCTACACCTAACAGTCTCTGTTATAATGAAAAAAAAATTGAATGCTGATGGATGTATATGTTACTATAAATATATACAAAAAAAAAAAAAAAAAATTACATTATATATTTGCTTCAATAAAGAATTTAGAAGTTTTTGACTTGAATATTTGTTGTTTTTTAATGAGAACTAATTATAATTATCATTATATAGTATGGTTAGATTTTCTCCATTAGCATTTTATTTTTTTTTATACAAGTATATGTCTGTGTTACGTACTAGATTCTCAGTTAGTGTCTTGAGAATATCTTCAAGATTTTGAAGTTAAAGCAATGTATTTAAATCATGTGAAATAAATAAATAAAAAAATACTGTCCAAATTTCAATTGATATTTTATTTTTTTATGTAAAAAATAAACAATTTTTAATAATAAGAATAATAAAATAATTTTTTAGATTTAAAGTAAAAAAAATAATATATATATATATATAGAATTCAGAAATCAATTGAAATGTCAAAATCTTCATTATCATCAAAAATATTTTCTTTACATTTAATTTTTGTAATATTTTTGCTATGGAAATCATTATTCTTGCTATTATCTATTTCCTTTGATATAAAATTATCATAACCTTTTTCATTATCATTATCATTAACAAAATTTTGTGTACAATCACTTTCATCAGAAAGATCGCTATCTGATTTTATAGATTCACTTTGTGAAGATTTTATTATATTATCATTAAGATGAATTTCATCATCATTTTCTTGTATGTAATATTTTTACTAGTTGAAGCTTTGAAAATATTAGATTCAATCTCTTCGGTTGAATCTAAATATTTTGCCCACTTATTCTCAGTAACTTTTAATTCTAGTTGCTCAGGATAAGTACTCGTGTAGTTATCATTAATATTATTGCATTCATCAAAAGATTCTGCAATTTTCTCAACCTCATGTTCTTTCATAAGATTTAATTTTTGAACAAAAACACGACAATCTTTTCCTGAGCCTTTAAAATAAACCTAAAAATTATAATTATCTACTACTATTTTATCATTTTTATAACTATATCATGACATATTTACAATATATTACATTGAAGATTGAAGATTGAATTTTTTCGTTAGAAATAGAATTAACTAACCTGTTTAAATATCTGCTTGAAGTTACATATTTTGCACTGCCATTTTTTCGCTTTTTTTATTATATGGACCTATTATTAACAGAAATCAATTATATTATTAGAGATAATAATACGTTGTAGCTACGCATTTTGAAACTACGCATTTAATAATTACTTGATATGTTTTACACGAAAAACAGCGTAAAATATTCATTTCTTGCGGCATGATGTTAGAATATATAGAAATATTGATACAAGAAACACTTTTAAATATTAAAACTATTACTTTTTAAAGTAAAACACCTTTGAAACACTATTTCAAACTTCGAATCACTTTGACACTGAACAAGACAGGCTAGCCAATATGGCGTCACTAAAAATTGGCGGGAAATAAAGTTATTTCTGATTAATTTTTTTTTAATGAAATAATAAATAAAAAGAAATTTTTAGTATATGCACATTTAAAATTATACAAAGATGGAAAAATACAAATTAAATTTTATACTAGAAAAATTAAAAAAATTTGATTTTGGATTTTCATCTATTAGTTCATCCTAGTCGCCGTTAGGTAATGGTTCGATGTGAATGTTACAATTTTTGAAAGTTGCTTATAACTACTAAAGAAAGAAGAAATATTTGAATAAAAGTAAGTTCAAATTAGTAGTTTCTCTGAAATTGTTTTCATCAAATTTTAATTTGAATAATTAAAAGTTAAAAAGTTTTCCCAGAAGAAACGTGAATGATTCGATTTTGCTAAATTTATTCGGATTCGTTTTAATGTGCGTATTTCAAATTTTTAATTTCAATTAAATATTTTATTGCAAATGCGTTTTTATTGCAAAATTATAAGAAATTATAAGGAATTATAAAGAATTATAATTGATTATATCAAAGAAATCAATTTTTATTTTATTTATATTTTATTTCTTATATCACACATTTTATTATTATCATGCATATATTTTAGAAACATTTGTTAAAAAATAAATTAATCAACATTAAAATATAAATCTCTATTCAATGTCGATTTTACAGTTGGGTAAAGCTTCAGTAAGTTCTTTATAAATAATATCATTTGTGACAGCTGGTAATCCTTTAATTTTTAATTGTTTCAAATTTCTGAAATATCAAAAAATTAATAATATTGTATTTTTTTTAAACATGTTTTTAATATTACTACATATACTACATACTTAAGTATTTTCAATTCACGTAGACCATTATCATCAATACTTTTACATCTTATAATTTCTAAATTAGTTAATGAATCTTGAAGAAGTGATAAATGTGGTATAGCATTATTATTAATATATTTACACTCTTCAAGTTTTAAATCTTTTATATATTTACATCCCTCTAAATTAATAATTAAATGAATAATTATAATTATATATATTTAATTTATTTCGCTTTATTAAATCAAATATTATAATACTGACCAAAATGTGGAAATCCAACATCACATATTCCAGCATTATTTGCTTCAATAGCTTCAATGTAATAATTTCCATGAGATGGTAATGCATTATAATCGGTTAATTGTTCAGAAAAATTTTTCCATCTAACAAATGCTCCATTTCTTAAAAGCCATTCTGCACAAGCACGATCTGGACCAATTTCTTTTATACGATCAGCATCAACTCTTAAAAATATTCATTTTCATTTGTTCAAAAGCTATTTATTTCGTAATACAAAAAATTAAATAGCATTATTTTAATTTAAATTACCTATTGAATACAACAGTAACCCAATAAAAGAAAAACCTATTTTGATTTCTTATAGTTTGAAAAAGAACAGATGTTAATCTGTTTAATGTCTGAAATTAAAATATATGTCGCAACAGTTTTATTTAAAAATAAATGAACAAATTTTTTTATAGTCTTACATAGATTCTCATTGTCTTTCTATTGTTAAAAATATAATTAAAATATTATTGAAAATCAAACACTTAGGTTATGCGATATGAAAAAAATCATACAATGAAATCATTATTGTTTATAAAGTATTGTAATGCTTTCGAAATAATATTTTACTAGTACTTCTAATAAAAGAATTTATGTGTAATATATCCAAGCATTTGAGCAATAGGATGTAAATATTTCAATAGATGGCGAAAAAATTTTTTCAATAGATAATAAAAAAATTAAGTGTATTTCGTTTTTTAAGTGGTATTTTCTTTGCTACATTATATATACGAGAAATATTGAATCACAAACAATTGAATGGAATTTTAAATCGTAATTTTAAGCTATTAAATTCTTATCAGTCGTTATACAGTAAACATTATTAAATATAGATGTCAGTGACATACTACATTTCTATGGGCGATACTATTCTATATTACCGTAGTCTCTGGATTTCATAATTGTATGTGCCGCCGGTTTGAAGAGTCAAAACAAACCTGTGTGATTACGCACAGCAGTGGTTACGTTTGATACGGAAATTATTAAATAGCAGCAATATGAGTCGAAGAAAAAGAGCGAAGGTATGTTTTTCTATTCTGTTTTATCATAATTGGTATTACTTTTTAAAAAATATGTTCTTATAGTATGATATTGTGCGAAATATATTAATTAATAAATTTATTGTTTTGTATATTAACTATGATACATTTGTATTGCTTTCCCCCCTCTTAATATTTTTTCATATAATGATACAGATTGATGCGAATTCTTGTATAAAGGACAATTCGTATACGATTATCTTAAGTGATATTCTGTCGTAAATAAGTGGATTAGGTTATGTTTAGGTTAGAATCATTATTTGTTATTTATTTTAGTTTATCATCAATCATAAGTTTATCTTTTTATAATTACAATCGAATATATTATGTAGACATATTAAAATAGACATATTTTATGCAACTTTTAAGTCATAAATGCTTATAGAAATTTTTAACCTATATGTTAAGATAGATTTCTATATGATATTTTTCAAGATTTTCTTACACAAAAATTGATAATTAGATATTGTTTCCTTAATTTTTTAAATCTTTTATATTCATATCTAAATATAGGTGGAGTATAGAGAAATGGAAGAGAAATATAATCAATTAGAGGATGAAAATGCTTCAGATACATCGGAAAAATCTAAACCTGGTCTTGTAACACCAGAAAAAAAAGTTGTTCCTGAAGTAAAGAAAGAATCCGATACAAGTATATCACAATCTGTTCCCACATCGTCAGCACCAAGAATTGAAGTTAAAGAAGAAGACGATCAAGATAGCGATCATGAAGATCCTCATGGTAAATATATTTTTTAATAAAGTGTTATTATTATTTTTTTTTAATAATAATTTTTTTACAATTAAAAATATATCATAATTTGTATTTCATTTTTAGTAAAAGAATTACTTAATGGTTTGGAAGGGGCAGCATTTCAAAGTCGTCTTCCATTTGATAAATTAACTTCTACAGAAGCTGCTTGTTTCCCAGATGTTTCTGGCGGTCCACCACAGACTCAGAAAGTTTTTCTTCACATTCGAAACAGACTTGTATGATATTTATACTCATAAAAAATTAATTAATTTCATTCAAACTCACTAATATTTTTATTTCAGTTGCAATTATGGCTTGAAAATCCGAAACAACAATTGATAATTGAAAATGCTTTGCCAGCGATAGAACCACCTTATAATAGCGATACTGTATTAGCACGTCGAATTCATGCATTTTTAGAGAGACATGGTTTTATTAATTTCGGAGTATTTAAACGACTTAAAGTAATAATATATTCAATTCTTAAATTAAACTTATACAAATATTATTTATAATACATGAAATATTATTATAATTATTTTATCTTTTATTTCAGCCATTACCTACGAAGAAGTTAGGTAAAGTAATTGTAATTGGAGCAGGCATTGCTGGTTTAGCCGCAGCTCAACAAATGCAACAATTTGGTTTAGAAGTAATTGTACTCGAAGCACGGGTAATTATTATTCAACATTATAATGTATAAACAAACAAAATTAAACAAAAAAAATATTATTTTCTATATATGTTTCCAATTTTGACATTTTATAGGATCGTGTTGGTGGACGAATTGCAACATTTCGTAAATCTTCGTATATAGCCGATCTCGGGGCTATGGTAGTCACGGGTTTAGGTGGGAATCCCGTAACAACACTTAGTAAACAGATTAACATGGAACTTCACAAAATTCGACAAAAGTGTCCTTTATACGAAAGCGATGGTCAAACGGTTAATATAAATACATCTTTACGTTGTAATAATTAAATGTTTAAAAAATTACTTATGCAGTTTTAATACTTTTTCGCAAGTAGGTCCCGAAAGATAAAGATGAAATGGTAGAGAGAGAGTTTAACCGGTTATTGGAAGCAACTTCATATCTTTCACATCAATTAGATTTCAATTATGTGGGTAGCGCTGGATCTGGACAAGGTGGTAATACACGACCGGTTTCATTGGGCCAGGCACTGGAATGGGTGATACGTTTACAAGAGCAAGGTGTCAAACAACGTCAAGTAGCACATCTACGTTCCGTATTATCGCTCCAAGGCCGACTTATCACCAATCAACATAGGGTGAGTATCTCAATTATTCTTATCTAAAAATTATTAGAAAATACTAATAGCACCTATACGTCATAGATGATAGCGATCATGGATCGTTTGGTCGAGTTAAATAAGCAATATAAAGAAATGACCGAAAGTAAATTACAAACACGTGATATAACGCAAGAATTCGTATTGCGTTCAAAATTACGCGATCTTCATAATGCGTGCAAGGTATAGTATCAATTATTTATACATGAATATCTTTCATATTCATATATTCTGTATATATCAAGTATATCCTGTTTAATTCTTTATCTTAGGAATGGGATCAACTTTCCGAACAGCAGAAAGAAATCGAGGCAAAGTTACAAGAATTGGAAGCCTCCCCTCCTAGGTAAGTTTTCTCATGCGATGCATCGTAGATAAAGATTCTTATCGGTATATAAATTTTTTGTTTACTGTTCATAGTGACGTATATCTTTCTTCGAAGGACCGTCAAATATTGGATTGGCACTTCGCAAATTTGGAATTCGCCAACGCGACGTCGTTATCGAATCTAAGCCTGAAACATTGGGACCAAGACGACGACTTCGAATTTACTGGCAGTCATCTAACAGGTTAGTCTTTTTGATAACGCTTACTAGTATATGCTTTGCCTCGTTAATCGCTGTTTACTTTCATCATGCGTGCAATTAGAATTTGTTGAACCGCTAAATTGACCATAATTATTATCAATTGTGCGCGTTACTCGTTAAGATACGTTAAACACGCGAAAACATTCTAATTTCGTGTAGCGCACGTGATTCGTCGAGTATCTCTGTACGGCGTAACGCGTATATACGGCATTATATCGACGTTCTCGAGAAATTGCTTAACCAGCCGGTAGATGGTATAGATAACGGGTGAATTATTCGCGGGTTGCATCTCCTTTACAGGCGTCGGATAGTCTCTCGCACTCGGTGTCCGTGCGGTTGACTTTATCAACCTTATTGAAAGTCGATAGCACGAGATTCCGTGTAGATAGTACGCTGTATCCCTTAACCGATCGGTTACCAGAGTTCTCATTATGTGAAATTATACTACGATCATATAGCGTGTTCGCGGTTCTCGAGTCTACTAATGCGTTAACAAAAACGAAAGCGGCGAGAAATATGACTGTAGATAATCAAGCGGTTTCGTATTTTACACTGTTCGAGGGATTCTCTCTGTTCCTAACTTCCAACAGACTTGACTCAACGGTCTTACCATACCATTTCCCTAATCATTATCTCAAGTATTTACATTAAAGCAGCCAAGGCCTTCCGGAATAATTGGCTATCCTGTGTTTGAATCGGTGAACGTTCACCGATTGCAATTAAATCTGTTCGAAGCTTCTGAGCGTTAACCACGTGACGTACCTCCGTGTTACCATTCCGCTCACTCATACTCGCGTATCGCACAACGAGGAAGACAGGTTGATCGTGGGCCGAGCCTTCGCATTCCCGGGGCGAATCTTAACGACGTTACTTGTCTAATTCCTTCGACACGATTCACACCCGGGAAACCTGTAAACTTGTACGAGAGACAGAAGCGTCGTTCTCGACCGGCTATCGTTGATCTTACACGAAATATTGTACTCGGTACGTAAACGAACGGTAAACGCTGCTTTAATAGATATCCGAGGTAGACGTTGGTGGATGTTGCGTATCGGTGAACCGTGACGCGTCGGAATAACGTGGTCGCGTGTGTCGCTACCGCGAAGCACACTCGACTGACAGTGAACGAGCGAACCGGTCGAGTCAGGCTCGAATTCCAATATTGCTCCACTGTCGTCCGCGCAGTCGAGTGCATCGAGAGTGCGAGAGAGCGAACTCGAGCGAGCGAGCGTGGCCCCCTCAACGCACAGAATGAAACAAGAGACGCGCGAGGAAGAAGGAGGAGGAGGAGGAGGAGGAGGATGGTGCTCTCGCCCCCGGTTCTTATTGGGGCCACGGTGGTGCGCGGCCATGGTGGTCAATTCGAAATTAAGCGATGCCCACAGTCCATGACTGACGTGCATCGATGATCATGACGGTCTGCCCGCAGGTTCTTCCCGGCGATTAATGAGATGTAAACAATTTAACGGTAAATTAAGCACAACAATAGGCTCTCCCCGTTGAATCCCTCGGTCGAAAGTTGGGGGCCCAAACGGCGGATCCTCGATGTAATCGGTTCTTCGACGAAGCCTCCAACTTCTCGCGATCCTCCGGCCCCGGTTTACGGACCATCGCTTCCTTCTCCGTTCTTTCACGAAACGAATCCCGGCTACAGGGTTAATAGCCACTGACCGAAAAACCGTTTAGGCCCAACAGAGAGAGTATTCCTCGAGATACTTTTTCGCCTTTGAATGTCGCCGACCACGGTTCCGCTTCTATTTCTCCGCTAACGTCTCTCGGATCGGTGTCACGTCTCGTTAGCTCGTCCGTTTATGCAAATATAAACCCTCCCCCCTTCCTCCTCTGTCCGAATATAAAGATACTCAACGAATTTTCGACCGATACGGTTCGATATCTGTTTTTCTTTTCTCTTTTATGGGAACACAAACCTGGAATACATTCCTTCCGTGGACAATGATTTTTTTTTTTCTTTTCTTTTCTTTTCTTTTCTCGTCTCGACACTCGTGGTAACATTTGATAGTAAAAATTCAGGAATGCGCGGAGCGGTCGATCGTCGGTGTGGCGACAATGCATGGTTCCTCGTCTCGGATCGGTCGTATAATGGAGAGTTATCGAGCTTTGTTGGCGAGCGTAGTCGCTGTTTTCGGTGTTCGTTGTCAGTCCTTCTCGCGATTGGTAGGGCGAAAACGTAGGCAGTTCGATATTATGCGCGTATATACGTGCACGCGTAGCATGCACGAGATGGAGAGGTGGATACGCGGAGGGGCCGGGGATGGGGCCATTTACGACGTATCGAAGTCTTCTATACCGTTCGTTGACTCCGATCGTCGCATTCCACACCGTCCGCGTGTCGCTACCAAAATTATATTGTCGTAAACTTGACTTCGCAAACAGCCTCTCGCCGATCTCTCGAAACTCTCTTGACATCCTTATGGAAGGGTTACAGGAAACACGGTTTCATTCATGAACGCCTCCATCGATATCGCTTTTTCTTTTTCTCTCTTTCTCTTCTCTTTTCCATTTTTCTCGAACGCTTGCCTCGCCAAGTCTCGGCTACTACGTCAGCACTGCGAAGCTCTCTGCACGCCCCTCGCTATTAATCGGGAAAGTTGAATTGAGCCCTCACCGAGTGGCGACTTTTAAACCTCGCCGTCGACCGATCGGATCTTCCCTCTCGAAAGATAAATCGTCGATCGGCAGATAGATACCGGAGGGAAAATGTAACGATTACTCGGCAAAAAACTTCTCCTCGCGTACTCTTTCCGCATCGTCTCGATCTTCTGACCGCGGAATATTTACGGGAGGGGAGAGGGTATCTAGTTTATTCCCCTCTCCCTCCTCCACGATCTCGGAGATCGAAATCAGAGGATCCGAGTTAAGGATCGGCTGAGTTCGTTACGGCCAACTTCGAGCCGGCGTTTCGTATTTCCCCGTAAACAACGTTCCGGCTCGGCTGTTTGAAAAATTTACGAACCAAAGAAGGAAGGAAGGAAGGAAGGAAGGAAGGGATATAGAGGAGGAGAATCGGAATGGCGCGCGGCTTAATGAGCTTTCGCTTTCGATCTCCGATCGATTTCGTCGCCGAGGAGATGTTACCTCGAAGCCTTGAGAGAATGAACGGTCGAAAGGGGGAGAGGGGGCAAGAGGTCCTGGGCTCATTTGCCGAAACAAGCTCCACCGAAAAAAGTGTAAAATAGAATGTCGAAACGCGTCGCCTGTGTTCCTCCTCTGCCTGCAACGCGGTGGACCCGGCCGCTGAGAGAGGTGGACGCGGTGTTTCCTCCGACAGGACGAAAACCGTAGGCAGTTTTAACATTAGTCGAGGTGGATGGCAGAGAGAGAGAGAGAGAGAGGAGGGAGGAGAGAGGAGGACGTCCGGAGGTACGGTTA